AGAAACATTGAAAATACCTGGAGACAAAGAGCACTAGAGTCTATAAATCTCCAAACACTTTATCTCTGCTGAATTTCTGGGTTAGCTTTTCCTCCTGTCCAACAAAGGATATTCAGAGCAACCGACCTTCCTCTGTAAGGACACCCAGAAATATCTCTGGGCATTGCTCAAAGTTCCTTGTTTGGCAAAATCACCCCTTTTCCCCCAACTGAGAAGCACACTTTTAACTCAGCCATTTTAACACAGTTCCAGCTTTACTATCATGCTAACAACTTAATGATAGAGAAAAAGGAAACCTCATTCCAAGTCATTAAAATTATGACGTCATTGAGCTAAATGTATTCATTCATAAATCAAGTAGCCAATACAGCAATTTCCTACCTCTGGGCTAAGTAGGATTCAGCTGACTGGGTTCCATGTTCTTAACTCTCTCTCTCTCTCTCTCTCTCTCTCTCTCTCTCTCTCTCTCTTTCTCTCTCCCTCCCTCCCTCCCTCCCTCTCCCCAGTTCAGGTGTTGAGCTCACCTGGTGGATGGGAACTCTGAGCGGAAGGTCTCCAAGTGAAAGCCTGAATTCATCATCCAATAGTTGATAATGGAGTTGGAGGGTCTGGCTCCAGCCAAGAGAGCAGGAAGGAGTGAAACATCAACGTCCCAGCCAGAGTGAGGAATGCACACCAACAAATAAAACTGCCCTCCCCACCCTTGTGCACAGGTGTGGGACAAAGGAGATGAGGAGATATTTAAAGGTCCCTCTACCTGCTCATTAGGTACGTCTGTGTCTTGCTCCTCCTGCCTCTAAGCTCGGGATCCCCCATGGAAATCTGTTCTGGACATGCAGGAAGTATTTCTTAATGATTCTCTTTTCCCAAGACATTGGGACTCAAGTGAATCCATCTTTTTTTTTTTTTTTGGCATCTCTTCTTCCTTCCAGAGTTCTAAAACCACCATTAGGAATTATATTTTTTTATTTTATAAGGTGGACTGGAGCAATAGCGTAGCAGTAGGGCGTTTGCCTTGCACTCAGCCAGCCCGGCAAGCCAGGTTTGATTCCTTTGACCCTCTCGAAGAGCCTGGCAAGCTACCGAGAGTATCTCGCCCGTATGGCAAAGCCTGGCAAGCTACCCATGACGTATTCAATATGCCAAACACAGTAACAACAAGTCTCACAATGGAGACGTTACTGGGCCCGCCCGAGCAAATCGATTAACAACGGGAGAGCAGTGAGATTTTATAAAGTAGTTCACAATATTTGATTACATTTAATGTTCAAACACCAATCCCACCAGCATTACACCTTCCCACCAACAAATTTGGGATAGTTCCATTCCAAGCCCCAAGCCCTGTCCCAAAGCACAACCAAAATAACATATTTTGTATTGTCTCTTATGAAAAACAGCTGAAAATGCTCCAAAAAAAAAGTATCCATATAGGAAACAGTGTGAAGATTGTGAAGTTGGTGAAGGAAACAAGTGTGAAGATTGTTCTATTTTGGCAGGGGCTTTTAAGACATTCTTTTTTTTTTTCCTTTTGGGTCACACCCTGTGATGCTCAGGGGTTACTCCTGGCTCATTCACTCAGGAATTACTCCTGGCGGTGCTCGGGAGACCATATGGGATGCTGGGAATCGAACCTGTGTCGGCTATGTTGGCTGCGTGCAAGGCAAACACCCTACCCTGTGCTATTGCTCCAGCCCCAAGACATTCTTTAGAATATCACTGACATGTTGTTAAAGGTTGAGTGATATGAGCTTTCATATATATATGAAAATATGTATATATGTGCATATATACATTTCCCTGTATGATGTGTTGCCTACTATTTGAACCCCATCAAATGTATGTGGTACTTATGGAGAAAGGGTAGGGAGTATCTTATGGTGTTTTGTGCTGCCGCAAATGCTGACACACATTCCAGGAATATGTTCACTCGTACGTGAGGCTCAGCCCGAGTGTGTGGGGAGCGGCTTTGAGCGTGGAGGTATTTGGGTTCTGGAGGTATTCAGCTGTTCAGGGCAGGGTCCCAGGGGTGCAGAGAGGGCTCTCACCTGCCCCCCTCTGGGATGCCCCGAGTGAAACAGCCAGGCGTGGAGTCCGGTGGCATGGCTTTGGAGGCTGTCATGTGGCTCCCTTCCAGGAGAAAAAGCCATGTGATCTGGATGGTGGCCGATGACAAGATTATCTGGCACCAGCAGGAGGTGACTTATGGGCGTGACCCCTGGGTCGGCGGAGACTGAGGAAATAGGCAGTGGCTCTCTGCTCCAGTCCTGTTGAGACCAGAGTCCAAGGTCACAAAGTTCCGTATTTCCTGGATTTTGTCAGACTTCCCTCATGCATGAAGCTCAGCCCAAGCATGGGGGGAACAACCATTAGGAATTCTATACTTTCATCATGAGTTAAAACATATCATTTATTTCCTCATGCAATCTGTTTATTATTTATGAAAATATATATTCTGATTTAGGTTGTTTTCCATGAAATAAACTAATTTTGGATTCATGGACTATGGATTATATTTTTATAAGCATCCACTTCTGGGCTGGAGAGATCATACAGGGGAGTTGTTCTGCTGATATTGTAGGGCCGTAGTTTTAAAATACGTCTGCTGACAAAGTCAATTCTAATGACAAAACACATTTGTAAAGTATCTAACACTTTAGAAGGAGGACAGGATTAGACAGGGTAAGACAAAAGAAATAAGGCCAGACCACACCATAAAAGAGCATACTTTATTGGAGAGCATTGATTCAAAAAGAAGTTCAAGAAGCTGCTGAGAAAAAAAGTAATTACATATGCTCTGGGTAAAGAATAGCTTTGAAAAATTCATCAGGTGATTAAAAAAATCTTAGGGAAAAAACGGGGCCAGAGTGATGGTACAGTTGCTAGGGAGTTTACTTTGGTTCGATCCAAGCATCCCATATGGACTCCTAAACACTGCCAGGAGTTACCCCTGAGCATTGCTGCACATGACCCCAGAACAACAACAAAATCGATGGGGGGGGGGGGGGGATGCTCAAAGTCTGACCCCAAACTGCTTCCCAATGACATATTCTACGTGAGAATGGTGATGCATTTTGACAGTAAAAAATGCAACCCACTGGGCTGGAGTGATAGCACTGTTTGCCCTGCACGCAGTTGACCTGGGTTTGATTCCCAGCATCCCATATGGTCCCCTAAGCACCGCCAGGGATAATTCCTGAGTACAGAGCCAGGAGTAACCCCTGTGCATCGCCAGGTGTGACCCAAGAAGCAAAAAAAAAAAATGCAACTCACTTTTTTTTTTTTAATTACTGAAGCACCATGAGGTACAGTTGTAGATTTACAAATCTTTGTTCTTGGGTTTCAGTCATACAATGATCAAATACCCATCCCTCCACCAGTGCCCATTTCCCCCCACCCCCCCTCCCACCCTGCCTCTGTGGCAGGACATTCCCCTTTGTTCTCTCTCTCCTTTTGGGTGTTGTGGTCTGCAAAAGAGGCATTGAGTGGCAATCATGTTCAGTCCATAGTCTACTTTCAACATGCATTTCCCCTCCTGGGAGGATCCCCCAAACACCCTTTATTTGGTGCTCCCTTCTCTATCTGAACTGCCCTTTCCCCTAGAATTCCCGGCTGGCCTCTAAGCTATGGAGTAATCCTCCTGGTGTTGATCTCAGCTATTCTTAAGTATTGATCTCATATTTTGTTGCTTTATATCCCCCAGATGAATGCAATCTTTCTATGTCTATCCCTCTCTTCCTGACTCATTTCGCTTAACATGATACTTTCCATGTAGTACCACTTGTATGTAAATTTCATGACTTCATCTTTTCTGACAGCTACATAGTACTCCATTGTGTAAATGTACCAGAGTTTCTTTAACCAGTCATCTGTTCTTGGGCACTCAGGTTTTTTCCAGATTCTGGCTATTGTAAAGAATGCTGCAATGAACAAACAATTGCAGATGTCACTTCGACTACACATTTTTGCCTCTCTGGGGTATATTCCCAGGAGTGGTATCGCTGGATCAAATGGGAGCTCAATTTCTAATATTTTGAGAAACGTCCATACTGTTTTCCGAAAGGGCTGAACTAGTCGGCATTCCCACCAACAGTGAAGGAGTGTCCCTTTCTCGCCACATCCGCGCCAGCATCAGATGGGACTATCTTAAACTAAGAAGCTTCTGCACCTCCAAAGAAACAGTGACCAAAATACAAAGACAGTCTACAGAATGGGAAAGGATATTCACCGAATACACATCTGACAAGGGGTTGATATCAAGGATATACAAAGTACTGGTTGAACTCCACAGGAAGAAAACATCCAACCCCATCCAAAAATGGGGCAATGAAATGAACAGAAACTTTCTCAAAGAAGAAATCCGAATGGCAAAAAAGCACATGAGAAAATGCTCTACATCACTAATCATCAGGGAGATGCAGATCAAAACCACAATGAGATACCATCTCACACCTCAGAGACTGGCCCACATTCAAAAGCAACTCACTTTTAAGAAACATTTATTATTTGGGGAGGCATTTATGATGCAGACAGTGAAGTAAATCTTCAGAAGCTTAAGTTGTAGCAGGAAGGATGGAAAGAACCATGTGCTTAATCCCTTTGTCAGCCAATAAATCTTGGGCACGGTTGGCAGTGGCTGGAAGAAGAAAATCCCCTTCCCTTGATCATAAAAATATTTTATTTGGAATGGGGAGAGAGACTCAAATGTTTGAAGCTCAGGCTTTGCATGAAAGGGTCATGGGCTTCATCACCTGGTCACCCAATTACTGTTAAGTATAGACCAAGAACAAGTCAAAATATTGGAACATAGAGCATTTCATTAGCAAATATTCTATCAATGACTGGGTCTTGGTACCTCCCACACAGTCTTTCCATTGTCTATAGAAGCTAAAATGGGGGGGGGGGGGGTAGGGGCATGTGGATATGTCATGATTCGTCGTCACAGAAAATGTGAACAGTGACATTTATCTGCGTCACTTTTAGTCACATTTAGTCACAGTTGATCAATTTTTTGTTGCTTGCCAGGAAACAGCGACAGTATAAATCTCAGACTGTATTTGCGCTGACTTGATGGGTGATCGCTGAACCGTTTCTGATGATTTCCCGACTTCCTCCTGATTGGGAGAAAGAAGAGGGAGAAAGGTTGAAAAGAAATGAACCCCTTACTGGGGACATTGGTGGCAGAAAATGTGCGCTGTTGGAGGGATGGGTGCTGGAACATTGTATGACTGAAAATCATGAACAACTTTGTAACTATGTAGCTCATGATGATTCAATTAAAAAATAAAAATCAATAAAAATACTGAACAAAGGGAAAAAAGAATAAATAAATTCCTTGGATTAGGTATAACATAAGGGCTTTGGGGATACTGGATCTTCTCATGACAGTATGGAGCAAGTACTACAACAAACCGATGAATATTAATTCTATTGTAAACATATCACAACAAACAACAATAATTTTTAGAATAAAATAAATTAAAATTTTTGAAAGAAATTTTAAAGGGGTTAGAGAAAAAATATATTAAGGGAGTTGGAAATTTTTCTGTAGGAACTGATTTTTAATTGCTTTTTTTGGAGTTTTTTAGATACCTTTTTTTTTCTTTTTGGGTCACACGCACCAATGCACAGGGGTTACTCTTGGCTCTGCACTCAGGAATTACTCCTGGAGGTGCTTAGGGGACCATATGAGATGCCGAGGATTGAATCCCGGTCAGCTGCTTACAAGTCAAATGCCCTACCTACTGTACTATCACTCTGGCCCTTTGGTTTGTTTTTTGATAGATTTTTTTTAATCACTGTGAGATAGACCCTTACAAAGCTGCGCATTCTATAATAAATAATAAGAATCTTCCTCCAAAAAGTGGAAGGTTGAGAGATAGTACAGCAGGTAGGGTGTTTTATTTGCACGTGACTGACCCGGGTTCAACTCCCTGACATTCCATGTGGTCCCCCAGTACCACCACAAATAAGTCCTGAGCACTGTCAGGTGTCACCCAACAACCAAAATTTTTTTCAAAAAGACTTAAAAAAAGAAATAGGAGCCAGAGCAATTGTACAGTAGGTAGGGTGTTTGCCTTGCATGCGGCTTGCAAGGACTTACCCAGTGTACTATCACTCAAACCTTAAAATTTTTTTCAATCTTTTTTATGTAGACCAGGGAAGTAGGAAGTCTCTGAGAGCACTGGAAGTGGGTTCCAATAAGTATTTACACAGCAAGCAGATCGCATCTTACCATCTTGGTGTGAGTAGTAGACCTCGAGATGTCGGTACTTTCCATCTTCGACCCTTTCCTCACGCCACTCAACCATTTCTTATATTCCATGCGCACCTGAGAAACAAGACATTTGTGTGACACGCAGGGATTGGTTGAGGAGAGAGGAGTCTAAAACAGGAGGCTCCCAATCACTGGACCCGCACCTTTCTTTACTGTGCTTCATCTGGTTTTCACTATCACCTTGGTTGTGCTTGCAATGGTGCGTTGTATTTACATTCTGCTGCCTCTGTGGCAGAAAAGGCATTGATTGACCCGTGTCAGGTGACATAAAGAGTCTCTAGAAGGTGAACGTGTTGATGATGCAGACACAGGTAATGTCATGCTGCTGATGAAGGAGATGGTGAACATGAAAATGAGGAAGTTATGGGGAGAGGATGCTGACGGTGATATGAATGATGGTAGCGATCCTTGAAATGATTATAGTCCTGACGGTAATGATGAGAATAATGGCTTTGTGCTCAGAGGTCCTCCTGGTGGTGCTCGGGGGACCATGTGTGATGTCTGGGGAATCAGAGTCGGCATCATGCAAAGCAAGTATCTCCATCCCTGTGCTATCTCTCCGGTACGGTTTTCAAATTCCTTCTCTGATCCCTATCCTGGTATTTTGGGATGGCCTTGATTGTGGGAAGACGGCTTAGATGCTGTTGGAATCAGGAGCAGTCCCCCCTTGTACCACTGGATGTGGCCCAATCTACCTTCTCTGACAAAAGAATCTGAAAATCAGCCCATTAGCCTTCTGGACTCAACTGATAAGATACAAAGGAAGTAGCCTCACCTGGCGATTAAGGAGGCAATGTACCAGGAAGAGCATGACTCCTTGCAGGACATTGATGATTGTGAAGGTGTAGGCGAAAACCAGCCCCATTGTCTTTCCCACTGCTTCAACCATAAAAAAACCAAGACCCCAAGAACAGCCCAAGATGAACAGTTGAGCAATAGCTTTCAATGTTATGACCCTGAAAAGGAAAAGAAGTCATCGTGATTATCAGCCTGGAGTTTCACAGGGCAGACTCCATGTGGGGTACACTCTGTGAAACACTTTTCAGGTCCCCCATGGAACTTTCTGACAACCTCAAAGAGTTATACAGTGTTACAGGTAAAGGAGGAGGCAGGAAACCTTCAATCATTGTTTCTGAGAATAATGGGGTTTTGGGGGGTAATTATTTGGCAAGATTCATAGTTTCTTGCCTGAGCTTATTGAAAGATGTGTGAAAAATGTCTTCTGAGAAATTTGCATAGAAACTCGTGGATGATGATGATAATGATGATATAATGATAATCTATGACTTTGGAACCTGGCAATGCTTTGTGTGAGTTTCCTCACACAAAGGTGTGTCTGGGAGAGAGGAAAAGGGTTTGGGAAGGCAACTGACTGGGAGACTTGGTGAATGTGTCCGTGTGTGAGTGTGTGTGCGCACACGTGTGCACATGCATGCATGTGAAGGTGTGTGTGAGCTTACATTCATCTACATAACTGAAGAGAGACAGAGAAACACCAAGGTGATCTTGCACCCAAGTGACCTTGCACCCATCAGGATTGTAGAAAATGAGTCTAAGAGATGTTAGGTAGGTCTGATACATAGATCATAGCCAGGATTGTGAAGTGGGACAGAAATTCCAGAGGAGTCACCAGTAAAAAATTCTTACCTATTCTTTATGAGAACTCTGTGTTCTCCTACCAATGACATATTAATAGTTCATTTTAATTGATAACTAGTAATCCTGGCAGCTGACGACCCAGCTACAGCTATGCTGAGACCACTCTCCACATGCTCGGATGAGCCTCACGCATGAAGGAACTGGCAGAGGAACCCAGAGGAACCCAGGTGTGTGGGATCTGGGGTTGAGATCTCCAAGCCTGCTCGGTTCGGGACTGGGCGTCCTCCACCCAGATCCCCAGTCTTCCAGAAGCTAGACAGTTACACCCACCACCTGCCATGTAACCCCATCAATGGCCAGTATGCAGAGACTACAAAACCAAGCTCCCGGGATCACGCGGCCACATTTACGGACACATGACCTCTTATTCTGTAGTTCTCACTCTCAGAGAACCCGGCAGGCTACTGAGAATATCCTGCCCGCATATATGCCTGTGTGGAAGCACTTGTAAAGGTGATTAGAGGCTGTCCCAAAAGCCTCCAATCCCTCTCGGAGAGCCTGGCAAGCTACCAAGAGTATCCCGCCCGCATCCCGCCCGCATGGCAGAGCCTGGCAAGCTACCTGTGGTATACTTGATATGCCAAAAACAGTAACAATAATGGTCCTCATTCCCCTGACCCTGAAAGAGCCCCTAATATGCCATTGGGTTACACTAGCACGTGACAGGGATAAATGGAGATGTTACTGGCGCCCGCTCGAGCAAATCGATGAACAACTGGGTGATAGTGATAGTGAATTCCATCAAGGTAATAATGGGCAATAAAATTAAATAACATTGGTTTATTTCTATCATCTATCAAGCTCCTAGTTCATATCAACAGTTGTTTTCATCATTTTTAACACATAATTGTACTTTTTTCCCTCTTTTTAAGGAACAGTGTTAAGTAATTCAATGTACAATTTTGATCTCACAGTATTACAGTCCACAATATAGCATAAAGATAACCCAGGTCGTGTGTGTACATACGCAATAATTTTTTCAATTCCATTTCCTCCCCCCTCCATTATTTCTAACTTACAAAGACTTTACCCACCTTTAACACTATACAAAGCCCATTCTGAATATTCACTATGACTATCACTATCACCCTGTTGTTCATCGATTTGCTTGAGCAGACGCCAGTAACGTCTGAATTCGTCCCTGTCATGTGCTAGTGTAGCCCGATGACATACTGGGGGTTCTTGCAATTCCCCCTCCTTGCACATGGTCAATCCAGGTTCCATCTCCAGCATCCCATAGCGTCCCCTGAGCACCACCAGGAATAATGCCTGAGTGAAAAGTCAGGAGTAACCCCTGAGCATCACTGGGTATGTCCCCCACCCAAGAAAAAGCTACTGAACCCTATTACCTAAACGCTGACACAATTTTTAAAGAGAATAATGAATCATTCTAATTAAAAAGAAAGAAAAGAAAAAAGAATTAAAAATAAATCAAGGGATTGGAATGATAGTATAGCGGATAGGTCGTTTGCCTTATACGTGGCTGACCCAGGTTCAATCCCCAACATTCCATATGGTTCTCCGAGCACCATCTGAAGTAATTCCTGAGTGCAGAGTCAGGAGTAACCCCTGAGCATCACCAGATGTGACCCAAAAAGCCAAAAATAAATAAGTAAGTAAAATCAAGAGTTTTCAGGGACACAAGATGATTAGTTTATAATGAACCTTGTGACAAATGGAGAAGTGAATTGTTAAATGAAAATGATATTTTGCATCATTGAGATATATTTGAATGGGGAGGGAAGTTCACTCTCCTGGTGGGGTTGTTGTTGGAACATTGAAAACCCCATAACAACTGTGTTATGAACAACTTTGTAAACCATGGTGTTTAAATAAAAAAATGTTTTAATTAAAAAAAGATATAGTTGAGTATGCAAATTCTCGAATACTCTTTGAGTATTTACAAATATGCACATACTTGTTATCTGGTACCAGAATATTTTATATCATATTTTATAAAAGTATTTCTCACATTGTGTGGAGTAGACTTAAAAAGAATCTCTGGAGCTGGAGAGATAGCACAGTGGGTAGGGCGTTTGCCTTGCACGCAGCTGACCTGGGTTCGATCCCCAGCATCCCATATGGTCCCCTAAACACCGCCAGGAGTAACTACTGAGTGCAGAGCCAAAAGTAACCCCTGTGCATCAACAGGTGTGACCCAAAAAGGAAAAAAAAGAATCTCTGTGACAAGGCAGCCAGAGAGAGAGAGCAGAGCAGGGAAGGTATGTGCCTTGCATACAGAAGACCCAAGTTTAATCCCTCGCACCCCAGAAGGTCGCTGGAGCCCTCCAGGAATGATCCCTGAGCACAGAGCCTGGAGTTAGCTCTGAGCACAGTTGGACATGGATCCCCAAAAATAGAAACTGTGGTCACCAGTGATTCTAGCTCCTTCTTACCTGGTGTCTTGAATAGTGGAAACTTCTTTATTGAGGGAGGAAATTTTGCTTCTCAAAATCCACAGAACTTGAAAGTAGAAGAGCAAGTTTATCTATGGAGAGAGCAAGAAGATTGACTTGGAATTTTCTTTTGAAGCCTGTCATAGAATCCAACTTGAGCTGAGCCTTAACGTCTTTTCCAAAGGATACCAGTTTCCTAAAGCCAGTGTAGCCAGATGTTTCGTGTTTTTAGGTAGCCTGGTTACGCCACATTGTGGCATTTGACACTTGAATAGGGCTACTATATAATCATTAAAATATCGTCATTCATACCAAAGCATATTGCAAGTGTGTTTCCACATCTATAAAGAAATACAGGCAACAGTTACCTTCCGATAACTTCTAATGCCTATACTAAGAAAATGAATGTGATCAGGAAACTCCTGATAAACACACATACACATTCACAGAACTCTATCATGCATGCAGATACTCAATAAATATCTGTTTAAAATATATATATATATATAGGATTTTAAAAAGTATGTCCAAAGGAGACAGTTTATCAAAGTAAACAAGAAAGTACAGGAAAAGTAAGGATATAAATAGAAAGACGGTATCTCTAGTAGAAGTTGATGACATTAGATTATATTTCTTATCTTGATCTTATTTTCACTTTGTTCTTTTTTTTTTTTTAGTGTTGGGGCCACACCCCACAGTGGGTTATGTCTAGCTTTGCACTTCGAAATCACTCCTGGTGGCCTCCGGGATATGGGATGCTAGGGATCAAATCTGGGGGCTGCGTGCTTGGCAAGCTCCCTACCCACTGTACTATCTCTCCAATTCCTCATTTCCACCTTGACAGATAAGAAACTGACCATCCCAGGAGGGTGGAACACACAATAATAACCATCACTGTTGACTTACCACAATAATCACTGCCACTGGCCCCATAAAACTCCAGATGAAGCCTTTCTCAAACTTGAGCCAGCAGCTGTTGAGAGAAAGAATAAACCTTAGTTTCCTGTTCTAAGGATTTGAATCCAAGCACCTGAAGCAAGATTTGAAGAGCCAGGAGCTGCCTGGTTCAAATATAAAGTTTTTTTTTTCTTCCCTCATTTTTTTTATTTTTTAATTTTTATTAGTGAGACACTATGAGGTACAGTTGTATACTTACAAATTTTTGTGCTTGGGTTTCAATTATACAATGATCAAATACCCATCCCTCCACCAGTGCCCATTGCCCACCACCACGGATCCCAGCATCCCTCCCACCACCCATCCCCCCATCCCACCCTGCCTCCACATTTTTTTAATTAAACCACTGTGACTTACAAAGTTATTCATCGTTGAGATTTAGACATACAATATTGCAGCACAGATCCTACCACTGGTGGCAACTTTCTCCCACCAATGTTCCCATATTTGCTGCCCGCCCCGCCCCCGCCCCTCCCCACCCAGCTTGTCCTCTTTTTTTTTTTATTGAATCACCGTGAGCTCCAGTTACAAAACTTTCATGTTTGAATTTCAGTCATACAATGTTCGAACACCCCTCCCTCCACCAGTGCACATTCTCCACCACCAAAGTCCCCGGTATATCCAATCCCTTTCCAACCCTCCCCCTGCCTCTCTGGCAGACAATTTTCCCCATACTCTCTCTCTACTTTTGGGCATTATGGCTTGCAATATAGATACTGAGAGGCTATCACGTTTGATCCTTTATCTACTTTCAGCACACACCTCCCATCCCGAACGATTCCTCCAACCGTTATTGACTTGGTGATCCCTTCTCGATTGCAGAGGTCTTCGCCAACTCATTGATCGTCGATTTGCTCGAGCGGGGCCCAGTAACGTCTCCATTGGAGACTTTGTTGTTACTGTGTCTGGCATACCGAATACTCTCGGTAGCTTGCCGGGCTCTCCGAGAGGGGCGGAGGAATCGAACTCGGGTCGGCCAGGTTTCCAACTATGGCCAGATTGCCCTCTTAACAGGCACCTTTATAAGTTTGGTTGTTAAAATTTGGGTCTTTTGATTTTAGTGTTGTAGACTCTGTGGTTAGGATGCTTGGACCTATCACTCTTTGAGCACCACCTTTGTACCTGAGTCCCCTGTTCTGGTCCTTGTTGCTTCTCCTCTGTCTCTTCTCTGCCTCCCCTCTACTCTTTCTTTCCTTCTCCTACCTATACTCTGGGACCAATGTTGATCTTGGCATTAAAATTACATTTTAATAAAGGGTGTTGTGAGGACCCTCCCAGGGTGGGAGAAGCATGCTGAAAGTAGTCTATAGACCAAACATGATTGCCACTCAATGCCTCTCTTGCAAAACACAGTATCCAAAAGAAGAGAGGAGAACAAGGGGGAATGCCCTGCCACAGAGGCAGGGTGGGATGGAGGGATGGGGGGTGGGAGGGATGCTGGGACCCATGGTGGTGGAAGATGGGCACTGGTGGAGGGATGGGTGCTTGATCATTGTATAACTGAAACCCAAGCACAAAAATCTGTAAGTCTATAACTGTACCTCATGGTGTTTCACTAATAAAAAAATTACATTTTAAGTGTAATTTAAAACATTACATTCCTTCATCCAGTCATTCTAAATACCACATCTAAGTGTTAAATGAAGTAAGTCAGAAGTGTTCATTCATTCTTTTTCTGGCTTTCTTCACTTAACATGATGTCTTCCAGTTCCATCCATGTTGGCATGAATTGCACGGGTTCATCATTCCTAACATCTGTGTAGTATTCCATTGTGTGTATTATGTGAATTATATAATTTCATCATTCCTAACACCTGTGAAGTATTCCATTGTGTGTATTTTGTGAATTACCCAATTTCATCATTCCTAACAGCTGTGTGGTATTCTGTTGCGTATATGTCGTGAATTGTGTCATTTCATCATTCCTTACAGCTATGTAGCACTCCATTGTGTACGTATACAACATCTTCTCGATCCACTTCAAATATAAGTTATCAGATGGCGTTGGTTGTGAGTTTTTATCTTACACAAGCGTGTATGCTCAGCCTTGCAGGTGGCTGACCCCAGTCCATTCCCTGGCATGGCATCGTCCTCCAATCACTAGCAGGTGCAACCATTGAGCACAGAGCCAGGAGTAACTCCCAAGCATGACCTGGTATGGCCCTCTCCCTAAGTAATAAGCTTTAATGCTAATACTCTGAACTAAACATTTCCCAATGGAAAGTAAAGAACCCTAGTGAGGGGCTGGAGCTATAGTACAGTGGTAGGGGCGTTTGCTTTGCACACAACCAACCCAGGTTCGATCCCCGGAATCTCATATGGTACCCCCGAGCACTTCCAGGAGTAATCCCTGAGTACAGATACAGGAGTGATCCCTGAGTATCGCCGGGTGTGAGCCCCCCACCCCCCCCCCCGAAAATAAACTTAGTGATTAAAGAGTCTTGTTCCCAACATCATTTTTTGGTTCTTTGTTTTGGGATCACACCTGGTGGTGCTCAGAGGTTACTCCTGTCCCTGCACTCATGAATTATTCCTGGCAGTGCTTGGGGAAACCATATGGGGTGCTGGGAATTGAACATGGGTCAGCCGTGTGCAAGTCAAGCGCCCTACCCCATGTGCTATCACTCTGGCCCGCCAACACAAGTTTTTTTTTGTTTTGGATCATGAATTCCACATGCCCCAACAACACGTGTGTCATGCTTACTGAGTGTAGGTTCCATAATTTTTGTGTCCTACTGCTGCGGACACGCCCACGATCACAGCGGGAACACCATATCCCAAAGGGTACATGAACCTCCTCTTGAATCGGCTTGCACTGGTGTAGTTGGCCACTTTGAGGTTTCTCACTGTGAGGAAGAGATGCAGGCCTTCGAGAAACAT